GGGTCATCAATAAAATTATCTTCCTTTGATTCTGTTATTCTGTTCACCTTTTCATCTTGCTTTTTAGTTTTGTCTTGAACAGTTTTGCTGTCTTTTACAATTTTACTGAAATCCATGTCACTGTTAGTATTGGGTTTGACCTCCAATCGCTCGTGGTGTATTCTGAGAAAGATGAGAAAATTTGTAGATGTATTTACACAAGTGTTCACATCTGATAATAAATGCAGTTCGTACTCTCTATCTGTCACACAAGGTAGCATTTGTGACAGACTGAAGGCAACAACAACAACAAAACTTTATTTACTCTTGTACTTACAATTTTATAACTCTCTCACACACACATATTAATTAAGTACAAATATTGAGACTGGAGGCTAAATAGCTGGGAAGTTAACGAGTTAGCCTTAAAAAAATGACTGATCTGGGAGAGAGCAAGAACTTTTCTACCTATCATGAACAGAAATAATCATGACTGCATGGCACTTGTCAAAGACAAATATTGTAAAACTGAAGTAAGGTATAAAAAAAGCACCAAAATATAAGTAGGAAGTCAGACAGTTTTGGCTTAGCCCATCATCGGAGATGTTTAGTGGTTTGTTGGAGAATCAGCCAAGACAAATGCTTTGTGTACTGTTGAACCTCTATCAAGCAGCCAGTTATCAAAGTCCCAAAATAATTGTCAGTAAAATACTGTAAATAAAACCCCTATTAACCGACCACCTCCATTAAGTGGCCGCGGCCACCTTTGATTGTCCTGATGAGGCTTTTTCTGTCCTCTTTACCCCTTTTGAACGGCCACCCAAATTTTAATACACCTAAATAACCCTTGGTGGAAAAGGCAATGACAAATAAGTGTCTGAAATAGAAGGTGAGAAGTGACAAAAGCATTCAAACACACGTTCATCATGATTGTCTTGAAGTGACTCCATGTTCACTAAGAAATTAACCCGATGGTGAAAAATATCAAGGTACACCAACCTCTATTAGGCGGCCAACTCCTTTTAAGTGGCTACCTCCCATTTCCCCAAGGGTGGCTATTTAACAGGGGTTTGACTGTATATGCATCCTAGGTTCTGCGTAATCTCAGAAATTCAAATATCACGTCTACACCCACCCAAGTTACAAGTGAAATGTCTCCTTGGGCAAAAGCATGTGACCATAGCTATAAATAAGACAGACTGTGTTTGTAAATGTCAGTGAAGCCCTTGCAGCAACTCTTCATCCAATATCTTCCTAAACTAAGTGAATAAAATGGTTCCAAGATTTTCTTGATGACACTGGATCAAAATCTTGGGACCATTTGGCAGGGGAGGCCAAGGGGGGAGGAACTCCAATTATATAAAGGACAAGGGTTCTCATCGTAACTAAAAGGTCCACAGCAGGAACTTTTGCAATACCTTTTAGGGTATTGAGTCNCCCCCCCCCAAAAAAAAAAATAACAAATGACAGAAGATAATGTGTTGTTTTAGAATAGGGGTGAAAAAAATTCAAGCCACACCCACAAAACAGGATCTAAGTACTTCTTAGGGGTTCTTTTTAAATTTCAAAGAGCACTCCTGTCCATTTTACATGGGGGACTCCTCAGAAGGGGCATTTACCCTCAAAAATTACCTTCATCAACAACATACCTGTTCTCTTTCTCTGGTTCTGAAGGTGACTGGGAATCTTGACTGTCATGTTTTGGTTTATTAGAACTTTTTGTCAGTAAATTCCTCAGTGGCTTGACCACTTGCTTCATCTTCAACACAAGAAGAAAAAATCACTTACAGTGTTCCTCAAAAAATCAGGAAACCTGTTCATGCTCTAGTCAGATGTCTGTGCAGTAAGTCACAGTTAGGCACTTAGGCAGTCTAGTGATTTTTTATGTATGTTTTGTATGTTCATTTCCTGTCAATCACAAGGCAGCATAGGTAGAATGCTTGCCTCCTGATTGATCAGTCCAGGTTCGAGTCCTGGCCCAGGAAATTGTGTTGTGTTCTTGGGCAAGACATTTTACTCTCACATTGCCTCTCTCTACCCATGCGTACAAATGGGTACAGGCAAATTTAATGCTGGTGGGTAACCCTGCGATAGACTAGCATCTCATCCAGGGGGGAGTAGAGGTACTCCTAGTCACTTCATGCTACTGAAACGGGACGTAAGTGCCAGCCTGATGGGCCACTTGGCTTGTATGTAGACTTTACCTACAAGACAACAGGCTCTTTGCAACAAACAGTCACATGGTACAAAATCTGTCATGCTGGAGGACAAAAGAATGTGACAGCCTCCAAAACAAAGCGATTTCAATCAATCAAGCTTGAGTTTTCTTTGTTTTCTTTTTTAATGTTCCAGTATGTAACTTACCCTTTAGCATGGCTGATTTAATACCATGTGACCCTCTGTTGCAAAAGACCCATTGATTGCATTTCATACCTTGGGCATTTCTATGATCAGATGGCCTGTTGTCTGTGATCTCTTTGCAGAACTTGAGTCTGGATTGACTTCTTCGTTCAGAGCCAGTTGAAACACCTACAACATATTTTAAGCTACCAACATGAATGATAAATTTGTATATTATTTTTTAATAGTGCATAGTATCCCTGTTTATCTGATATATCTCTTCCCCAAGAAACATTAAAATGTTATGTGTCATGTATGCTGAGCACCTCGTGTAAAAAGACCTTTTCTTTTTGCCTTTTGAGAGGCTGGTGGCTCAACATTCTAGAACAGAGTCTTGGTTTTTTATCATGAAGTGTCCAAGTATACCTGTATGTCTTCTCCACAGAATGTTCAGCATATTTTTGTTAGTTCACTACAACAGGTTGGCCCAAGAATTCACAGGTAAAGTGGAACCTCGTTAATCCGGTCACCAATGAGCCACAAAAATCTGGCCGCATTAAAGGGGTGGCTGTATTAAAGGAGATCTTTAAATAGGAAAATGACTGACTGAGCTTTTTTCGGGCCAGAATAAAGTGGCCGTAATTACAAGGTGGCCGTATTAATGGGGTGGTCGTAGGGCAGGGTTCCACTGTACCAATAAATGATAAAGTGGTTCAGAAAACAGTGGAATTTCCGTATCTTCCAATTACCCAAGAACACAGCAACAACAACAACAACAAATGTATTTGTACCTAACATTTACAACAATTCACAACACAACAACTCCAGCCAGGGTTTTACCCAGAATTCTTTAAATGCATTCCAAAGCTCTTAATCATGCCATTATTAATCACCAGTTCTATTACTGTCATGACAGCAGTTAAATTGAGGACAAAACATTTTTCCACAGGCTGAACTCTTAACAACTTAATATAAGCACAGTCACTTCTTGGAGATGGGATTCCCACAGAAAAATGTTTTTGAAAAAAACTTTTATTGCTGTTACCAACTGCTGTAACAAGCACCAGTTAAGTTATACTGCAATCATGGGATGTGAGCTATCATTTCTTACCTTGCCTTTTACTGTCACTCTTACATATGTGGGCTGAACATCAACATCAATGAGAGATGTGTCCAAATACCTGGAACAATCATCAATATTGAAATGACTTAACACACATGTAACACTTCCTGAAAAGAAATTTCTAATAAAAATTTACTTTCTGTGAAAAATAAAATTTAAATACATTTTAAATTTTTCATGGTAGTATAAAGATACCTGTACTTCCATTTATCACAATTGCAATGGTGTTAAGGGATTTAAATCACAAACCTCATATCTATTAGAAAAGGATTTAAAAACAAATATTACATGGCACTTACTTAAAACAAGGTAGATCCAAAACAAATCTATTGTTATCTTCATCATCATGAAACTCAAAGTCCCATCTATAGGAGCAATGAACACTCAAATTTTCAAAAAGAAACATTACATGCCATCTGCTCAAGAGGTGGGTGGGGGGGGAGGACTATTGGTACTTAGAAAATGCTTGGTGTCAACCCGGGGAACTCTCATATGAAATGGTCAGGAATGCTCATCAAAACATTTGAATTTAAACCCCTGAAGGAGACCAATCTGGGCATGGCTTGAGCTTTATTTAACCCTTAAAAGATACCACTTATTTGACCCCTTAGTACCACTTAAGTACCACTTAGAATGTCTAATCTGACGTGACCACTGTTAAAGTCATCCAGTACTTTTCAGGGTATTTTAGAAGAGGTATGATGAGAATGACATGTCAGAGAAAATAAAGGTGGTGATGAATTGGTACCTCTTGAAGGGAACCATGATTTAGTCAGAGCTTCTGCCTCAAAAAGGCATTAAGGTGCCTTTTTTCATTACGATTTTTGTTGATCACCCCTGGCAATATTACTTTACACGCTAAAGGCCCTTCTTCACCCCACCCCCACCTCCCCCCACCTACTGTCCCTCAGAAAAAAGACAAACTCAGTTGTATCAGATGTCAATTTAATTCTGACTGTTCAATGTTCATCATGAAACTTGAGACTTGGCCCAGGGTGCCTAGTAAACATTTTTCAAATGGGTAAACATCAGACAGTCATGTCTCACTTGTATTATAGAATTCAAGTACTTACTTTCCTTGGTTTACATTCAGCACATGACCATCAGCCGCAAAGAACCTCATTTCTTTAACTTGTTTCTTTCTTCCAAGTCTCCTGAAAAATGTAAAGAAAAAGGTTTAAAAAAATGACAGTGAGTCATAACAACATGATCATGCATCCATGGAAAACGTGCCTTGTGGAATAAAAATTACAGATTGAGGCAAGTCATTTCTTTGTTCTAGCAGTTCAAAAAAATATTTTCTTGAAATACATTCCGTACATTTCTTGTAATAAACTACTCACTGTACATTAATTAAAAAATTAAATTGCTTGCAATATGTTTTAACGTGTCATTAAAATTACCATAACACTACTTAATACAATACATTTATTTTAATAAACTTCTTAAATTAATTACAAATTTAGAAACTACTCATTTTAAAATTCATATTACTTTTACATTAATGGTATGATTTGGATTTTAAAGACATTTAAACTGGCTCACTCATCATCTCTTTTCTCCTTTTGTTTCCGCTTTTCTTCAATGTGTTGATGAAGTTCAATCCTGGACTCTGGGGTGAAATCTGTTTTTTCTTGCCAAAATCTAAAATCAAAATTATTTATGAAATCATAATGATATTAAAGTATTAAATAACTAACAACTGTGGCAACTTAAATAGAACAACCAAATGAATAACTAAGAACAGAGACGTTTTTGGATATGATATGGCAGACCTAATGCTTGAGAAGAGAACAATAGCTAACAACCAATAATTATTATTGACCTAGGTTGAAAAACTGCCACCATGGGTCTGCATGAATCACGTACACAAATTAGTCTGAGAATACCTTTTCTCGTCTTCTTCTTCTTCTTTCTCTGTTTTTTCTTGATTACTCTTACTAGAAGAGAAAGACAGGACAAAAGTAATGACTACAGGCCATTTACCCCTTATAAGAACCAGACACTCACATGCTTACCTATAGTTATAGGGGGCCTGCAGCATCAGGCCATGTAAGGCAATGTCTGCATACGAGCCAAGTGGCCCATCAGGCCAGAACTTATCCTGGTTTCTGTACCATGAAGCTACTAACTTAAAGAATATTTCTACTATACTAGTCCATTGCAGGGCTACCCCCCATACCAGTACCCATTTGTACACCTGGGTGTAGAGAGGCACTGTGGGGTAAAGTCTCCTGCCCAAGAACATGACAAAATGTCCCCAGCCAGGACTAGAACTGGATCACTCAATCCCAAGTTGAGCACACTAACCATGAGGCCACCACATCTCCACACATGGGGCACAGCCCAGTGCTTCTTAGTTAGCAAGCACATCTGTAATGATGTAGGTTGTCCTCAGTGAATCTTGCCACTCAATGGTAGAATCTTTTCTGATGCTTTAAGGAATGCATGGGGATTTGCCTTATATGCAAAAGGCTTCTAAGAAATAAGGTTACATCATGAGATGACGCAAAGAAACACCCCATCTCCCATAAATATAAAACAATCAGCCCTTCCATCTGTGGGGGCAGGGAAATAGGCCAATCTCCATAGATTAAATTCTAACTTGGCTCCAGGGCTTTGGGGAATAAAACAAAAGAAATTAAATATTCAGCACCCAATCTTAATGACATTTCTTTTATTTTACTGCCTCAAGCCTCTGAACCAAGTTAGAACTTTAACATATTGAAATTGGCCTATTGGTTACACAGATCAAACTTAAGATAATTTAAAGTTTCCGTACACCATTATGAACTGGTTGCTTGACAAATCTAATCTTTGCCTGAGGTAAAAGGCATTGTTAACATCAGTGTAGGAGTAGAGGTCTCCTATTGTTAAGACTATGGAACACTTAGACACCACGGTACTCCAGTATAAAAGGACAGGGCTGCTCATCAGAAATTTTGAAAAGAATCCCTACGAGATACATTGTACCAAGATCATGTCTCATGGGTGTGGCTTAAAACTTTTTTCCACCCCTAAGAAGTACTGATTCTAAAGCAATGCATATGACTGACAATGACTTTTCCCGGCGCAATACCCTAAAAGGTACTTTGAAAGCTCCTGATGAAGACCCTTTGAGGCTAAACACCCTAAGAGGTACTAAACCTGCTTTTTAACCCCTAAAAGGTACCAAAAGCACCCCTGTCCTTTATATGGGAATCCCTCATGAGCACTTAGATCCAATGTAGACTTCACCTACCCCTATTCCCCGACAGGTGTATAACCTCATGTAAGTTTTACCTGAGATCTTCAGTTTCTTTATCATCTGTTTTCGCCTTTGTTGCTTCTTGTTTTTCTTTCTCCTGAAGAAAAGTTGCATCTGATGTATAGGTACTGTGTATTTCCATTTTAACATTTAAATTTCAAGGTAGTGTTCAAAAATTTAAAGTTTTACCCTTTTCTTAGTGTACTCTGTTTCTTGAATAATTATCCCGTTCCTGATATTCTCATAATCCTAAAACATAAAAAAATTAATAATTAACATTATCATTTGGAAACTCACACATATTCTCATGTGAAGGGTAGAAGTTGACTGCTGTTTTCTGAAACATAGAGGTTTGATACAGAAACTTTTCATTAGTTAATCAAAGACAAAATTGGAAGGTTCTAAAATAACTACCTATGAAAAACTATTATTTCTAACTACCGGGTAGTCTTAACTTGCTGTATTGAATTTTTCTGTCAGTAATTAAATTATAACTAGAGTCAAATATCTTTAATGAAGGACATAAAAGACAGAGTTGACTGTCTGGATTGCCATGAAGGTGTCCATATTATAGAGGCAGGCTGGGATAATGTGAACAATAATTAATGGTTTGTGTGGGACCAAGTGAATTGTCTGCTATATAGGCATCTGTATATATTTAGTAGAGGTGCCTATATTAGAGACTTGAATTTCATCTGTGATCCCTGGGTTAATGGGTTAGTATGTACCCAAGTGAATAATTGGATGTAAATATACAGAATGAGGTGTCTGTGTTATAGAAGTGTCTGTAGTATGGAAGTGTCCATAGAGCCGTCTGTAAGGAGAGGTTGGTTTGACAGCAGTTTGTCATGAGATATAACATGGATATCCTTGTAGCTATGTCATTAACTAGTAAAGAGTTAGTAGATCAAACCTCAAAAGGTCTTTGTGCAGGGAAAAACTGTTAGCCCTAAGAACTAAGAGCTCTGGATTTTTGTTGCTCACCTTCAGGCTAACGATTGCTTTACAACCGCACTGCATAATCTCTTTCTATCAGATTGTACTTAACATAGTTACATAGTACTATATCTATGGTATTACCAGAGTATGATGTAGATCACCAAGATGCAAGCTAACCTGCTTTGCCAAAATCCTCTCAGATTTTTCTATCTCTTTTCCATCAAGCCACTGTAAATGATCCAAAGTAGCAATGACATATTCTCTGTACCCTTCGTACTCTGTGCATGGGTTCCCTGTCAGATATCTATCCAATTGAAACAGAAATACATTCAAGACATGTGTCTCTCTATCTTCATGAAATATATTGTGCACAAAAGACTGTTTCACCAGATTTCTAAACAACAAGAAGAGAGTTGAACATATGATGTGAGGCAGAGTATATTTGACAAACTTTGGGGTGTTTGGAAGAGTGGTTAAACACTGTCTTGAGTGATTGATATCTCTTCTCGATCAAAACAAAAACTAATGAGAAA